CTAAATGTTCAGTGATTCTGTCTCTGGGGCTCTAAACTGCCCTCATTCCGCATTCAGAAATCCCAATGCATCAGAACCGAGTACACGGATCAGTGTTACTTAAAAGCTTTTTGTTTGCTATTACAGGCATTTCTTCTATTGAGCTAAATTGGGGGAAAAAAGTGAAATCTAATGGTTTTCAACCAGCATGTACAGATTTGCAAACACGAACCTTTCAAGTTCTTTTTGCATGCAGATATTCTCCTTACATGTATGTGTTGCAGAGCCTTGAAAATAAGTATGATGATTTTGGTTGAGAATGTTTGGTTTGCGGGTTAAATCCTTGTCCATGCATTCTCTTTCCTGCATGCAGAAACCTATTTTAGCATGTGTTTATAAAATGTGAAATCCTTCCTAGGCTCCAGAGAGCCAGAAGTACCTTCCTTTGCAGAGCGTGGAAAGCAGCAGCACGCACCCCTCCACACCAGCGCCCGTCTCTGCGCGTGGAAACGCCACCACCTGCACAGGGCTGAGAGCACCTCTTCTCTCAGACCCTGACCTCTCCACCACGGCCACCTCTGCACTGGCAACCCGTCTGGGAGGCTCTCGGGGAGGGACTGGGTGCAGAGCACCTGACAGCCATGGGACAGGAAGGCCTGAGCCAGGCTGTGCATGTGACCCAGCACAAAACGCGTTACAGCTCCCGCTAATCCCCGGAGCCTCCCTCCCAGTTGTTCACCACACGCTGCTGCCCAGCTCATCCTCACCAGAGCCAAGGTGACGGTTCCACACACAGACTGAAATGAAGGGCTCTCCTGCATTGTCTGCCCACACGTGTCCTCCCATGGACACTCCAACTTTCCTCAACAGATCGCGCCTCAAACCCTTTTCTTTATTTGGGGAGGGTGCTTATGCAGGTATTGCTCAGAAACCAACAAGACTCGCCCACACCAGAGCCAGCTTGGAATGAATGCTGCTTGTTTTATGGACAACTTAAATTTTTCCACTTAGAAATTTTCTCAGGCTTTAGGATTCTGGGTTGAAAGTCTTAACTTTTCCAAGACGACTTCTGCAAATGTTGTATTTCCAGCAAAACCATGTTTTTTTCTGTTCAAAACAAATGGGAACATTGCTTCTACTGAGTAAAAAGCACTGTATAACTTACTATATTTCAAAAATTTGTAGACCAAGGTCAAAGAAGGGCTTTTAAGTTCAGGCTAATAATTGCTACCTATAATCATAATTTCCTTTGATATGTGTACAAGTCCTGGGTTGTGGGGAGGAAATGCTCTTCCAAAACACAGAAAGCATCACAAAAAGGATGTATTCTACCTGCCAGAGCCCGATGACATAAGGTCTGTAAGAGGTACCCTTCACTGGGGAGCCAAGGAGCAGCAATAAAGGCTCTGGTGTCACACTCTTCAGAAGGAAACAAATTCCGTTTGATTCTGCACTGACCAGCTCCAGGAGCTGACTGTGCCCCAGACCTGTGCTCTCTCATTCCACTGCTCCTTCTTCATGGTTTTAGAGTTTGTCCAAAGCCACAACAGATAATGACAGCAGAAAATGCCCTCCAGGAGCACAGAATATGTAGAGGCAGATCCATATAATCAAAAGAACTATAGATTGTATAATATGCATTTAGCCCCTCTGTGTACATTAGCATGCATATTTATTTTATTTTTCTGCTGTTATCACAAACAAGAACAGCTAATGTCAGTGTCCAACCCAACGAAGTTTAATCTCACATTCTACTTTTCAAACACAAACAGAAATTAGTTGGTCAAGGGAGAAAAAACAAGCAATGACCAGACAAGTTCTTTAGCAGTATCTAAGCCTTACTAAAAATGTAGATGTAAACACTGAGAAGAAAAACAGCATTTTTCAAGGCTGGTTGCAAATAGACTGTAGCTAATTTTGAAAAATTGCATCTAAAATTATATACCATATTAAATAAAGAAATACAAGGGCTCTGATAGTAATTACTGTCACACTACATGAAACTGACAACAAAGGTAAAGATTTACATTTTCTGGGCAGTTTTTTTTTTAAATGCCAATTCACAAAGCAAGTATGGAGCATGAAAATCCTAAACCTTCAACAATCATTTTTAGTACACGATTAAGAGTCATTTTCTATTCATATACAATTACATAAATTAGATACAGAATTTTAAGGGACAATGTTGATGATTCTGTTAGCTGTTTTCATATTCTTGACTTACAGTATCTTGACTTTCTCATCTCCAAGGGGGAAAAAATTAATGAAATTTCATACCACAAAGTAATAAACTGTTTATATCATGGTTTTAAATTCCAGCTTTAAATTAAATGAGTTGAAGAGTGGAATGCTCCAAACAAACCACACTCTAAATCCTTCTACATAGTCATGAAAAGTTTTACATCCCAAACAATCATCAACAAATTCATGGAATACAATGTCATGCTTAGAATATAGCAGGGAGAAAAAAAATGAAACTTTTTTGCAGTTCTTTGCAATACCAGATCCAGACATGAGTGTCAGGAGACTAACTCTGAATTATTCACATATATATGTGAATTATTCAATAGGAGGCCACAGAAAGTAGACATGAGGAAGATTTCTTTTAGCTCTCTCACTGGGACTGCTCTTTGTGTAGATAGGGAGATGATGCTGGACAGCCCAACTCCCCTGCAACCTGTGGAGCAGCAGAAGAGGCAGCAGAGGAAAGGAAAGCTCCTAACACGCAGAAAACTTCTTCAATCCTGCAGTAGGAGGAGCTACTTCTTCCAAAACTGCTTTTATATCAGGCCCAATAGAGTCAACACAGCACATATACGAATTCACAGTTCTGTCCAGCAGCCTTAGCAGCTTTTCCCAACTCACCAAGCGAGTATGTGCTTGATAACAGCAAAGTTTCAGATAATTGTTGTTACTTCAGTTAGCCTTTATACCCTGAATACTAGAAAAGTGTTTTGCAATAACTAGTTAAAACTAATGTCCTTGAATACACAGAATTCCCTCCAATTCCCCATTTCATTGTATAAGGAATGCAGGATCAGCCCTTGAAAGTTCTTCTTTGCCAGAGTCTTGAAAATCCTTCTAAGTGGAACAAATAGGATCTAAAAGGAGACATCTATCTCCCCCTACCTGCAGAGCCCTTTATCCTCCTGCCCCAGGGAATGACATTCATGGAACTACTTCAGTCTCAAAGATGAAATAAACTGAAATCTTACAACCTGCCATAGCCATAGTACATCAAACTGTTGGGACTGGAAGTGTTTGAACCCCTCAACAAAGCCTGTTACTAAACTGCCATATTTAGCCAAGAGGTTTTTAAAAACAATTTGCACATATCTTTCTATACTGGTTAAGAAATGACTGATCTGCTTTAACTGACTGTGTCCCAGTGATGGACTATCTGACCAACAGCACCCATCAAGAAACCATGCATAGAAGTCTATGTACAAGCCTCTAACTTTTTACTCTCTCAAGGGAAGAAGCATGAGGTAATAACAAGGTAATAACACACAGATTTTTCTTTTTCGTCAAGATCCCTGAGAGCCTTTGTAGATTCGTCTCATTCTGTGGAGGCAGAAATGCTAAATACACAAGAAAACCAAAGCTTAAGTCTTCACTACTCACCCTTCCTTGAAAATTGACTTTTACTGCTGTAGGAAAGAGTATCTTATTATCACAAATTCATTAGAGCTGTGTCATCATATCTGGCTAGCACCTCTCTAAGAAAGTTCAGGTTTGGTTTTGAATGGAAAAAAAAAGCCTATAGAAAAGTAGTGCTCCCTGAGAGAATTCCTGACACTTAAGGCTGACTTAAAAGCTTTTATTCCTTAACTTTAGCAATCACTCCTTCCATAAACAGGCCAAACTCACTGTAAGAGTTTAACTTCCAACTGGAACGTGGAGGTTCATTTAGGCAACCCAAACTACACAACAAACATTAACTTCTCATGCTCTGACTCTGTTCCTGGCTTCCCCTAAATGCTGGGCCCTCCACAGAGCAGGTGTATGTGCTGTGTGTTAGGGGAGGGGACAGGAGAAAGGGGAAGACAGCTCACTGTACGTCAAAGCAAACCAGCAACCTAGCAACCATATATTAAAAGGTGTGTGTGTTTTTGTGGGTGTCTGTGTGCCAGGAATAACTGAAGCAGATATTATTCCATTTGTAATTCAAAAAATGTGAAAAGGGAAGGGGAGAAACTCCAGTTGCTGGTCTATTTTGGGGTCTGTCAAAATCCACTTTCACAACACAGAGTGGTAACACTTTGGATCTCATTTTTCGTAATCAAAAACGAAAGTCTAGACTTGAGCAAGTTCTTAGCTTTGGTTTGAAAATAGACCCTTCAAAGCAGAAACTGAACTTATTTCACATACTATGCTTTCTTCTATTTCTTGCTGGAAATATGCAAAAACCAAAGGGGCAGAAAGGCTGCCTCAAAGACTTCACACTTAGGTTAAGAGAATACTTACAAATGTACAGAATACTTCTAGAGAGATACACTTAATTTAACAAACAGAAATGTCAAAGATTCCCAGGGAATGGAACTAGCTTAAGATTCACTCGAGTGAGAAACTGACCCTTTCAATTTTGCCAAAGTTTCTCGTTCCACAAGGCAACTGAGAGCTTAGATCAGGATATGCAAGCTCCCACCCCATGGCATGCGGCCCCAAGGGTGCACACAAACTTGAGATGTGCCCCGTCCCACCAGAGCAGCGTGTCCCTCTCGGACAGGCTGAGTGTCGCACAGCAGGTGTAACTTTCGTGCCACCAGGGGAAAACGAGAAGGGGGAGCGGGGAGGCGCCTCGGGACTGCACCCACCACCTCACCCTCCAGCTACACTGCCCACGTTGCAGCTCCCAGCAGCCCAAGCCGAGAGCAGCCAGCACAGTGCCACCAGCAGCCCTGAGCCACCGAGCCCAGGTGTCCTGCCCTACGAGGCTGGGCTCCTGCTCCTCCTCAGCACCACCACCGCACCAACCACCACCGGCAGCAGGAGGGGAAGGCAAGGGAAGGGGGAGTTACCTTGTTTTTGACCCCGCAGTGGCAGCAGACAGTCCACAGGTACTTGAGGGTCCTCCACAGCAGGATGATAAACAGTCCCCCAAAGAAAGTAACCATGGATGAAGCGAGGAAAGCCCACCACATGCGCTGTCCGCGGCTATCGCAGGGCACCTCCATGGTCACCGGGATGATGAGCGCATCCATCTTGGGCACATTGACGGGGGAGGAGGACGAGTCTGTGTTGAGATTGTTGGCGTTGATATTGTTACTCATTCTAATGCCGCTGCCGCTGCCGCCCGGGTAGGAGCCGCCGCCGCTGCCATTTGCCATAGCTAACAGCGAGCCGGGCGCGCAGGGGCTTCCGAGAGCTCCTCCCGCCGCCAGCGCCCCCCAAAAAGCCCATCACCAGCCATATTGCTGCTGCTGCCGCCGCTGTTCAGCGGGGAACCATAAGGAGAGTAATAAAAATAAAAAAAGCCCCCAGTCAAAACAAACAAACAACCAAACCAACCAACGAAACAAACAAACAAAAAAAAGAAAGCAGGTGAAGAAAAGCGACCGCACAATTCCCGGGTCCCTCTCGGGAGCCGACAGGCCGGTGAATTCCGAGCGTCCTCTTTGTA